TTGGTATTTAATTTGAGCAAATCAGGGTGGCTACTTTTCATGGCATGTTTCTTGCTAAACTTAGTTATTTCAGTGATAGTGAGTATTAAAGATGCCAGATTAGAATTTGCAGTCAGATGGTGTCTGAATAATCAGTGGGGATGAACTTAGTTATTGCTAAGTTGTTAAATGGTGTTTAACCATGTGTTTAACATGAGTTCAGAGACATTATTTAGACCTTTAATATAGATGTTGATAAATGCAGTCTAAGGAAATATTTTGGGAGACCTCTGCCTTAAACCAACTCTGTTTTGGAATCAGTGACTCCTGAAGATCTGTATTCTGGTTTGAGCTGTGCCACAGCTTTGCTGCATGAGACAATAATACAGGATTTAATTTTCAGTGCTCCAGTTTTACCGTTGCTATAATAGGGACAAGATCTTTACTCCTTTTTGTGTGAAGCCAACATTGAGATGTGAAACCAGAGTACTTGAGATCATTTGAAGGAGCTACTGAATTGCAAAGTGCAATTATTTTCTTTTGTTGCTGGTTTAATTATACTGATTATCACGTTCTCTTTTCCAGGTGAAGCCGACCAAAGACTCTGTGTACTTTGGAGCACTTCTCTTTCTCTACACAGGCGATTTCTACCTGAATATCAAATTCCATGAAGACAACTGCAGCAGGGAGCTGCCTCTGTCCTGGTTCTGCCTTCCTAGTGTCCACATCCGTGCTATGGAGCCTATGGTCCAAACTAAGCTGTAAATGTACTGCGTGCTATTTGATTAACCACAGTGCACAGAAATGCTTGGCACATCCTCTGCTTGACCCCCGCTTGTTTCTGTCCAACCCCAGGCCACAGTCCCTACTTTGCAGGAACAGCTGAACACTTTCTGAATTGGCTGATAGTCATATGGGCAGCTGCTTTAGCTAATTTCAGAGGGGGGGGGGGGGGAGAGAGAGAGATTATAACTATGCTAGTTTTCCTCTGTTTCCAAAAAGCCTTTGAAACTGCTAATATATGCATTATACTTTCATATACTCTGTTGATATCAGTGGGTTTGAAAAGGTCTTGAGGGCTGAATTTAAGAGGGCTGAATTTAACCATGTGTTTGAAGGTCTCAATTCCAACTTGAATAATCCTGTTTTAGCATTTTTCAACAAGAGTTGTATATCTGTATGAAATTCCTCCTGGCTCACACTGGACCCATGGCACGTACCCTTGAGGTGTAGTTCTCTCTTAGACTTATTCACAGGCTTGTTCTTTTTCACTTGTTTGCTGAGTATTTGGTGTCTTTGGTCGTAAATAGCAGTAGTGATGCTTTGATGCTTTTTCCTGTGTTACTGAAAGTAAGAATAGCAAATGTGCCTCCAGTTATTTATTCTCTTCCTCCCCTGAGCCCAGTGCCACTTGCTCCTGGTAAAGTCACTGCCTTTACTTTGGTAGATCTATGAACAAGAAATGAAAGAAGGCAATGAAGAGCTAAAGAGTTTTGTCCTTGAGAAAGGAAATAAGCCAACTTTTGGGTTGCTTCGGGCTTGCCTATGAATTTGGGCTTTCACAGTTCTGTTTTATACAATCACAATCGCTTGAAACGTTTGCAGACACTTAAGGAGTCACCAGAATTAATCAGCTGGTCATTAATATCACTTTGCATGAGTTTTTGCAAACTCTTCTGATCAGATTTTTCATGCTAATAGACTGGGCTTGGTTATGTGGTCGTTTTTTTCCTTCCTTTTTTTAGAATGATTAAGTTTAATTATTAGGCAATTAAGGCCATCAAATTCCTGACCATAAAAGTAGTTGATGAATGTACTGAAAATTTAGCCTGTTGTCTTTCAGAATAACATTTTTGTATAAAGAGACCTGCATTTACCCCATGTAAAGCAGGGAGATGTCTTAGCTGTATGATTAATATATTATTTCATGGACCATATGTTTCAAACCTGTCTCAATCTTTTCTTAAATTTACAGCCTGCAGTTCTTAAATTTGGTGGTAGTATACTTTTGGGGGTGGATACACCAAGATGTGGCAGGGGCGCTCCAGTTAGCTTTATATGTGCTAAATCTACATGCACAACCTCTTTGACAATTTTTTGTTTGTTTAGGCTTCATCCAAATGTGGGCACACTACTTCATGCCTGACCTGGTTCATCCTGCTCATGCTGTGGAGCACTAGCCCAGATAGCTTATTCTGGCTCTCTGCACCATGCCCAGTTGTACTTTTAGAAGTGTCTGGTGTTTTCCATAAGAATGACAATGCTCAAAACTCAATTCATTGCATGTTTGCAAATGACTGTAATGTATTCATCCTAAATATATTTCTAATTTGAGGGAACTATAGCTATAGCATGATAGTTATATTTCCAGTGTATGCAGGGTATTATCTCTAAAAAACTGTATTGTGGCAATGTTATCAGTGTTTGCTCTTGAGCTGTGGCTCTGTATACAGCTTTGAATGCCAGAGTGGAAGTCTTCAGTCTTAAACAGATGGAAATCTGAGACTGACTGAAGATTGACTTGCAATGGTGTACTGCTCTGTCAGCTGCCAGCACACAATGTCCAGTAAGAAAACTGTTCCTTAGACTTGCACGGTGGTTCTGGGCCAGAGACACCCATGGAAAGAGGGTACAAGCAGCTGAGTTGGGCATGTTTTTTGCGTTAGTGGAGCTCGGTTGACCAGTTTGTGCCATGAGGCGGAATTCTCTGTCACTACATAGGCATATACACAGAAAAGTAGAATCCCGGGAGAGCAGGAATTAAACCAGTTAATCTTCTCCATAAAAGCTTGCTTTTGACATGTGTCTCTGTACTATGTTACACAACACTGTTGCAGTGAAATCCAAGTTGGGTTTTACTCAGTATTCCCAGCAGGTAATCTGCAGGTGCTAGGAATACAGCTAACGCTTTGTAAGGACCACATTGCATTTGAAACAAAAATATTGTGAAACAGATGCTGTTGCAGTCAGGCTGCTTCAGCTTACCCAGCTAAGGGATCATTTCCGAGTTTATTTTTGAGAGCGTTCTCTGAGAGGATATTGTTCTGTGAAGCCTATAGTGGGATGCAACACTCCTGTGCCCTTTACTTATAAAGGATCCTGATCCACAGCCTGCTGAAGCTGTTGGAATGGGAACAGGTTTTATTATAATAAAAGCAAGCTGCATATTTCCTAGGTTTCCAATATGCCATTATAAATCTGCCATATGTGCTCATAAATACAAGTTCTTATGTGTGAACAGACCCTTAATGGTCTATCTGTTCATTATATAGTAGACCACTCTGTCCCTTGTCAACTTTGATGCTTAGTTGCTTTTGGCATTTATGGTATCTTTCCCAATTTTCTCACACTTCTACTTGTCTTAGTGAGAGAGATGAAACACAAGAAATTCTTCCTTCTGGGGATCATTTGTGACTTGTCCAGAAGGAGAATATTTAAGTGTCAGCGTAATTTGGAGAGCGGTGAGGGGAAGGTACTTGAAATGAGAATACTGCATCACTGGGATTGCTGTCAGGATTGGTCCTTGCAGTGCTCGAAAAAAGGATGATACTTTTCTGATCTGCTCTCCTTTTCTGGAACCGAAAACTTGTTTTTATTTCCCCGAACCACCCAGCTATTATTTTGAACATGATGAGCCAAACTGTGCATTGTTACACAGATGTAAATCTGATATGATCCCACTTGGTTTAATTAAATCATTCCTAATTTAAATCAGTATTGCTGAGAGCAGACGTTGGTCCAATATATGTATGCATTGGAGAAGCGTAAGTTGTGTAAATGTAACTGTCTGAATAAATACTTGTCTTGTGTTATTTACACCTCTGCCTGTCTCTTCTATCTATAATTCTTGATAGTATTCTTGCCTGTTTTTACTGGTAATAATAACAACATATCTCTTGATGCTGCATTCTGTCTCTGAAAGAATGTATTTGACCCTGGAACTGAAATTTCAGTTTCACTCAAACTTTCTCTTCCTAGACGAACTCAGAGCTGATGACGGATGTATGCTCCATAGTGTGGTTCCTGTGTCAGTGTCCATTAACTATCAGCTGAGGGGAGAGAGATGCGCTCACGTGAAAGGTTACTTATGCCTCAGTGTCCTAGTATTGACAATGAGGGTGGTGAAGCACTGGAATAGGTTGCCCAGAGAGGTGGTGGATGCCCCATCCCTGGAAACATTCAAGGTCAGGCTGGACGGGGCTCTGAGCAACCTGATCTAGTTGAAGGTGTCCCTGCTCATTGCAGGGAGGTTGGACTAGATGACCTTTAGAGGTCCCTTCCAACCCAAACCATTCTCTGATTCTATGATTCTGTGGTCCTATGATTCTCTGAACCTTTCCATCCTCTATGGAAACAGCTCAAAGGCTGGAAGGAGGACCACTTTTGGAGGTGGTATATCTGGGAAGACTGACTGGAAGCATTTGTTTTGTGTGCACCATCTAATGTCCAGCCTTGTTTGAGCTCCTTCTGTCAAACAGTCCTGAGGCTCCTGTGTTTGGGTTCCCAATCTAGAAGCTCTTAAGCTTTCCTTAGTGAGACCCAGCTGCACTCTCCCTTCCTTGGATCCTCTGGGTCCCTTCCTGGGTGTGGGCACTTTGTCTCTCACTGAAATGGGACTATGCATCCATTCTACGCACACTACACACACTAGAACAGTGCTGTCTGCCAACTCCCTGGGGTGTTATTCGTGCCTTCTAGAGCTCTGGGCTTACAATTCAGCCGTTTGGGCACAGGTGGGATTTGAAGGCTTTCCTAAAGGTACATGCTTTACAGAGGCTTGTAAACAGTAATGCTCTTTCCTTAATACAGAAGACACGCAGATCTGGACAATTTTCATGTCCAGTGTTCAATGATACATGTTTACTTCTGCAGCTTAGACCATTCCGGGGCTTAGGTCAGGGTCCTTGGGTTGTCCAGCATCTTTTTAGCTCTTGGTTTCTCATTTCTCTCTTTCGCACCTCATCCTTCCCACCAGCTCTTCCACTCCCTGCTTTTCTGCTATTCTTTGGTTGGTCCTAACAGAAAGGATCAACATGTCCCTTTCATAGAATCATAGAATCATTAAGGTTGGAAGAGACCTCCAAGATCATCGAGTCCAACCGTCAACCCAACACCACGCCCACTAAACCATGTCCCTAAGCGCCTCATCTACACATCTTTTAAATACCTCCAGGGATGGTCACTCAACCACTTCCCTGGGCAGCCTGTTCCAATGTTTAACCACTCTTTCAGTAAAGAAATTTTTCCTCACGTCCAATCTAAACCTCCCCTGGCGCAACTTGAGGCCATTTCCTCTCGTCCTATCGCCAGTTACTTGGGAGAAGAGATCGACCCCCACCTCGCTACAACCTCCTTTCAGGTAGTTGTAGAGAGCGATGAGGTCTCCCCTGAGCCTCCTTTTCTCCAGGCTAAACAACCCCAGTTCCCTCAGCCGCTCCTCATAAGACTTGTTCTCCAGACCCCTCGTTGCCCTTCTCTGCACACACTCCAGCACCTCAATGTCCTTGTAGTGAGGGGCCCTCACTACACTTCTTTTTCTCCCTCCTTCCTCTGCATCTCCATCAGAGCCCTCCTAACACTTTGGTCATCTACTGGGGAAAAAAATTGTTCCAAACCTAATTTCAGTTGTTAAACTGGAGTTCGGCTCTCATATCCTCTCTTAAAAGCATCTTGAGATATTTCAGTTGAACAGGACCTTGTCTATTCTATTACTATCTGGTGTTGCTTGTTGGAGTGATACTTAGGCTACTACATTCATGATGCATCAATTCCATAACACCAGCAGGACTTGTGCTGTACGTAGATGACGTCATTTAATATATATTGATTACTTATTGTCCCTGTGTCCTGGTTCAGCCACATATCTAAGCATGTACCTA